AGATATTATCACCAATGAGAGGCAAAGATGCAAGAGATTGTCAATACATTTTGTAGGCAAAGCCACAGAAAACGGGAACATTCACGTAGTGGTCAGAATGCACAAAGGTGTAACTCCTATAGAAAGGAATTTGCTGATAATCAATAACATGACAAACACCTGCCTGCTTTGATGCAGCAAGTCCACTTTAAGGAATTTATCCTGAAAGAACACATACACATTAGGTGAAAGGCTGAAGGGAACTATTATACTGTTATACTGCTAATGGAAGCAGAAGCCCAGCCGAGGTAGAACCCACCAACAATCTTCACAAATTAAAAAAAGACAAAGGGTGAAGGGAGGGCAGGGACAAGGGGAAAAAATGAGAACGAAGACCTGTCATGTAAAGGTACAAGATCCCAATAATGAATGTAAGTGTACTGTATACCTAAAATGTACCAATAAACTCGATGAGGAAAAAAAAAAAGGAACATTCAGAAAGGATAAAAGGATGAAACATATAAAAATAAAATATGAGATCATAGGGGATAATGTCCTCAACTTGAAAATAAATTTCTTTTATCTTAAAAATATAAAAATAAAAAAGACAGAGAATATATGCTCTCTCGCAGAAGTAACATTACCACCCACAAAAGCATTCTTACTAAATTTTTTAAAAAGGAAAAAGAAATTGAACTTGAATCAGAACCAGCCTCTAAAACTATTTATACACATGTGCATAAATAACAGGGATAGTAGATCATGTTTGGTGACAACCTGTGAATTCAAATAGCAAAAGCCAACATTGGGAAAATTCTCTAGGACAAGCAAATTACTTTCTTCAGCAAATAAGTTGTCAGGAAAACAAAAAAAGAGGAGGCGAGATAAAAAGACTTCACATCAACCAAATACACTGTGTGAGCCTCATCTGACTCTGGATCCGAACAGCTGAGAAACTGGGGAGTCACTGGAGAAAGGATGCCTAAGAAGTACAGTATGGGTATTACCATTATGTTTTCAAAAGGAGTCCACAGCTTTTGGGGAGCTATTTATCAATTCAATGTGATTCTGGGGTTTGCTTCAATAAGCGATTAAGAACATAGGGAATGGGACAGGGACATAGATCCACCCAGGCTAGATAGATAGATAGGTAGACTTTCTATCTTTAATCTAGAGAATATATCCACGGCCAGCTCCCCTCTACAACTATTAGCAACATATATAGAGGTTTTTTTAAATACAAAAGGCTCTTTTTTCTTCACTTGGACTCGAGCATAATGATGGATTTCCTTGCTAGCCAGGAAATTCACCAAGATAAACAAGTTGAGTTTAAAATGTTATATGCAGCCAAACTGCTGGTGAGGTGCTCTAGAAAAGAATACACTAGAGATTCTGGGACGCATGAACAGCAGAAAGTTTTCTGGAGGAAAATCTAGGGCTGCTGCTTTAAATGAACATTAGTAATAAAAGCAGAGAAGCTCCAAGTTCACGTACAACAGGTTGTGTTATATGTGCTTATGGTCAGGATTTCGCAGTGGAGGTCGGATAATCATATTTTTAATGTTTACAAAGAGTTTTCAAACTTTCGCAATGAATAATATAAATTTGTAAGTTTTGAATTTGGGGGGGGGGTACTAGGGATTGAACTCTGGCCCTTGCAAGGCAGACACCAGAATCACTGAGCTAAATCCCCGGCCCAGAATTTGCAAGTTTTGATCCAAACATAAATGCCCAAACTTTGATCCCAGAAAAATAATATTTTTCATCTCATCACCTGTGAAACTCAGAGAAAGACCACTAGACTGTTTTTCACTTACAAAGAATTTAGCATGGTATGAGTGCCCATATTTCCCTTCTTCCTGTGAGGCTGTGTCACAGAACAAAGTAGACAGGCAGTGATAACCGAGCTTCAAAGGGAGCTGAGACAATGTGCAGATCAAGAAACAGCTCGCTCCCTGGGAAGCCGCCGGGCCTCTAGGCGGTTGCTGGGCTCAGTGCTGGGTGGGCCCCTCAGGACCAAGGCCAGGTCCAGAGCCTTCCCTGTCACTCCTAGACCTCCCCAGGGGAGGGCGGGTGTCCCCACAAGCTCTGGCAGGCAAGAGGTACCTCCCCTTGGCAAGGGGTAAGTTTACAATCGCTGCTCCCAAGCGTGGGATCATGCTAACAAAAGCAGAAGGAAAATACAAACAACACTGCCCTTCTCTCTTCCAGGAGCACAAATTATACTCCATGTTGGCTGCAGGAGTAAAGTGAAACCTCCGGCTAGGCGGGCTCCTGCTGCCCTGCCCAAACACTGGGAGAAACAGAGGCCTCCTTTTCCTACCCTTAATGACTAGAACACCAAGAGATGGACTTATGTCCCAGCAGGGCAAAGGAAGGCAGTTTTCTCAGTGACCAGCATATTTTCTTTCCTTGCTTATTCAGTTTTATACTGACAATGAAATATAACCTTTGTCTTCAAATAAGGAAATGGAGTGACTCCGAATGATAGAGCAGGTAGTGAGTACAGGGACCCCACATATAAGCCACAGGCAGCAGGAAAGCGAAGAACTTGGCTCCCCTGGGAGGCTCAGGGGCACCGTGCAGCTTCAGACTCTTGGAGAAACCCAGTTACCTTCCTTAGAGCTTCTGCAAATGACAATGAGGCTGACTGCAAACCCCAGTACAAACAATGCTTCACATTACAATTGCAATTGTCCATAACCACTGTGGAATGTTGAGAGAAAGACAGGAACCAACCTCCAATTCAACTAGACAGTCAGGCAACTTTTGATGACCTAGCAAGTCAAATTACTTCCTTGTCTTTACCCATTTCTTAAACAGAAGTGACACAGTCACAGCACACACAGAAGTACCCTACAAAGTGTCAGAGTGTGCAGGGGCTGAGCAGACTGCCCACAGGAAGAAAATGACAGAGCGTGGATCGGTACACTGGGACCCACCATAGCAAGTGGACAAAATGAGTAACAAAACCAGCCACTGGTTAAAACAAAAAGAAAAAAAAAACTGTACAAACTAGGGCTAATTAAAGGAACCTCAGGTTGTAGATCAGTGACATAGAAAAGTGCACACATGCACGCACACATACACTCACGTTGCTGAGTAAAAGGAGGAAAATCAAAAAGTGAATAATAACTTTAAAAGAATGCAGAGCACACTAAATATGTTAATAGGCTTATCAAAATCCAACCGCAGGGGGAATGGCAGTGTTTCTGAATAAATCATCACCTTAAAACAGCTCTTGGGGTCAGTACCTGAGGAAGCCAAGGCCCTCTATGCAGGATCCAGCTCACCATTTTTGTGTGTATCTTCCATGGTGCTTAGATGATCTTAAGAAAGAATGAGCACACAAAGAAATCCTGAGCCAACCCAATCCTGGCTGATTAAGAAAGTCAATCTCGACCTAATGTTCAACAAGGTTTGACATGCCCAGTTCTTATCCTTTACACAAGGCTGACATAATTACACTTGTCAAACACATCCATTTATTACCTCCCCATAAAGAGAGATACTGCAGTCATATTTGGCACACTGTTGTTGAGTCTGTACCTAGGATGAGAAGCATGGCATACCGTTACCTTTATCAAGCATGGTAACCATGCAGATTCCTGCCTTTGCTGAAGGCTAATTAGGTACCAAAGGGGGACTGTCATTAGACAATCTAACACAATCATCACCATTACATACTGTATGTTTGTGGTCCTCTCCCCTAGAAGTCTTACGTTGGAGACCTACTCCCTAATGTGACAGTATTTGGAAGTGGGACCTTTGGGATACAGTTAATTTTGGATGAGGTCATGGGGCGAGGATCCCCATGAGATTACTGTCCTGAAAACAAAAGGAAGAACAATCAGAGCTCGCTCTCCCGCTCTCTCTCGCTCTCTCTCTCTCTCTCTCAGCCATGTGAGGGCACAGTGACAAGGTGACCATCCACAAGTCAAAAACTGGGCTCTTGCTAGGAACAGACTGTTGGGCTTTGAGCCTCCAGAACTGTAAAATAAATGTCTTCTGTGTAAGCTAATGCTATTTTGCTACAGTGGCTCAAAAAGACTAAGATAATCACCATTTACAGATAAGAAAACAGGCATAGAAAGTGTGAAGCACATGCCCAAGTCTAGCAGTGAAGCTCCACTCTAAATCAAGAGAGAAGGATGCTCAGACAACAAGCCTAAAATACCCTTTAGGAAGAAAACAATTCTTTCAGATCAATACTGTCACCATTTGTAAAATAACAACTTTTGCTCAGTGAACTTATTGGTTTGCTATAGCTCACTAATTGAAAGAAATTAATTTTTAAACTCTTAGTAGGAGTAAAGTTCTAATTGTAAAGATAAGAACAGGACCCATAGATAAGACTGTCCAATAACATTTCCTGCAAGGATGGAAATTATTGCCTATTCTGCCCACTGATGGGCTATTAGCACAGTGCTTCTCAACTGGGGACACTGAAATGTCTCAAGACATCGTCGGTTATTAAACTAGAGGATGGGTGCTACTGGCAGGTATTAGGTAGAGGCCAGGGATGCTGCTCAACATCATAGAGAATGGTCCCCACAAAGAGATACCTGGTCTAAAATGTCACTAGTGTCATGGTGGAGAAAATGTGCACCAGCTACATGTGACTACCGGGCACTTCAGATGTAGCTACTGAGACTGAGGAACTAAATTCATTTTTTTTTACTTTAATTAACTTAAACTTTAATTTTAAATAAAAAGTTTAATAGAATAAAACTAACAAAACCCTGAATTTAAAGGTAAATGGTCCTATGTGTCTTAGGCAGTGCAGTTATAGAGAGAATTACATAAATATAAGAATTAAAAGTCATGTTTTCCAGGTACGTCCACTTAAAAAAACAAAGATCTCTTCAAGAAAAAGAGGCTCTGATCCTTAGGACTGGCCAATAACGAGCATAGATAAAGGCACAAACACAAACGTTATGAAGCTTTTGGATGTGTGTCCAGATACCATTTGGGTCAGGACAAGAGGAAAACATCCCCGTCCATACATATAGGCAACTCACTCTTGCAGGGTCTCCACACCCTTTTCTTTGTACTGTAGCTCCTGCTTCATCTGGGCCAGCTCCCGTTTTAATCTGGAAAGCTAAAGAGAAATCACATTGTTTTTCACGAACAAGCACAAAAAATGACTTACAGTTGTTATAGGTGCTGGTCATCTAAGATCCTACTTAGATTGTAATTCCATGCATCATCTATGCTCTCCATGAATTTTTGTCGCACGTGTCTAAAACTACCAGACTCGAAGAATCACCTTGCTCTGAAACAAAAAACCTCTATCCATTGCTGACAGGTCCCTACCCGGATGGGGAACTAGTAACTATGTTCTTTTTGTAGGTAAGGACTTACACATTACAATTAGCAAACCTGAAATGCTTTGTCATCTTTCCTTCTACTCACTACTCATAGATCTCCCCTAGATCCCCTAGACACTACTCATAGATCCCCTCCTGTTTCTAAAATCATGGTCTCCAACTATCTGAAACTCCTTCACCAGGTGAGCTTCTTTAAACAAATTCTGAACCACTCCAGGCCTAGGTCAAAGCCAAGGGAAGGGCCTGGGAGCCTGGACTTTCACAAAGCTCCCCAGGTGTTTTTCTTAGCTGGGCTAAATCTTGAGAACCACATTAAAAGGCATAACCTGGCCAGGGAACAACACAGCGAAGAGGACCTCGCTGCCAAGATGCTTCCTGTGCTTTGTCAAAAATGCAACACAAGTGTTCCCCTTTGCAGGCAACCAAAACAAGACTCTGAAGGGATAAAACAAAGTGACACTTGAATCCAACCAACACCAGGGAAGGAGCATCGAAGCTCTTCTGGTCAAACCCTGTTGCAGATGCCAGCCCTGTACGACTGGTCACCCAGTGGAGAAGGGAAGCTGCTGAGATGGCCAAGGGTCTAGGTCAGCACCCAACTACCCCAGGGCAGCAGACCTGTGACACTACGCCCTGATGTCACCACATCTTTCAGCACCAGGAAACACAGGGATATAGGGTACTTCTGGCCTGGCTTTAAAATGAAACTTTTTTTCCTTCTAGCAGAAAAAAAGTACAAAGTAAAAGAAAATGCAATAATAATCCATGAAATAGAAACTTTCCTTGTTTGGTTTCATTTTTGTGGTACTGGGGATCAAACTCAGGACCTTAAGCTTGCCAGGCAGACATGGCGCCACTGAGCTACATCCCTGGCCCTCATGAAATAGAAACTTTTCAAGGGGTAAAAAATGAGAACCAAGACCTGTCATGTAAAGGTACAAGATCCCAATAATGAATGTAATTGTACTGTCTACCTAAAATGTACCAATAAACTCAATAAAAAGACAAAAAAAAGAAATAGAAACTTTTGCTAAAATATGAGTGTTAGACATACTAATTGGCCACAAAACAAGCCAGGTTAAGTAACATGACATAAAAACACATGCAATGCTTCTCACTGTCAAAACACTAGTTTTACTTACCCTATCCCGACGACTTGCTATTTCTGCTTTAATCTGGTGTGGGTCATACTTTGTATTTGCTGAATATCCAGAGTAGGCTAAACAAAGGGAAAAATATGTTATTATAGATCTTCTAAAATATATAAATACACATAAGGAACTTCTGGTTCATAATTTCAAGTCTCAAATTTACAAGAGGACACCACTAGCTCTTCAAGAGTTGATGTTTCACAAACTTGGATATGCATGATGTTTGATTTTTTTTGTATGGGAATTTGCTATATGATTACACATAAGAAAACATATAGCTAAAGGTAGACCAAAATTCTTTATTTCTCTTACAAATCTACTAGGGCTATAAAACATACAAACACAGAAGGGAAGAGAAGCATGATTATGATATGGAAAACCTGTGGTACTAACCCATTTTTACTTACTTTTCAACACAACACATAACATGAAAGTCACTGAAGGATGGAACCAAAAGGTTACTATGGTTATTGTGTGTGGTTGTATTACAAATAATTCATGTTTATTTTCTTCACATTTATTATTCTCCAGGTGAATAAGTTTTTGATATGAGAAAGAAAAAAACTAAGAATAAAATTAAAAGGGCAACTTTATCTAGTATGGTGTCCAACTGGCAGGCTGGAGGAAGGCTTGCCCTCAAGTTGTCTATTCCCCAGAAACTGAAGTGAGTTGCTCACACACTTTTGTTCGAGCAACTTGTTAATGGATGGTTAGCTAAAATACACCACATAGTTCAAGGTTTTCTTAAACAGTGCAACAGCACATATGATTTAAATGCTTTTTACAGACACAGCGTCATTAGTATGAATAGCTAATACGTGGTGTGAATGAGCACCACGGAGCTGTTTATATACCATGTACAGTGCCAATTTCTGTCCACACAGAGCTGCAAACCTTTCCTGGTGTTCCAGCGTATGGAGCAGTCAGTGTCTGTTTCTTATTTCTACCACCCATTCCGCACATCTACAGCCATGAGCTTTTGCACTGTGACAACATGACTTCTCTTTTTTAGCTCATTTGTCTTCCTCTGTGAGTCGCCCCTGCACCGTAACATCAGCCTCCTGGTTACTGTCCTTAACACACCTGCTCAGAAGATCCATCTGCAGGGCTAGGATACTTTCTTTTATTCCTTTGATCGGGGTGCCTTGGGCTGAGAGTTATACAGTTAACTTAGGTTCCTACAACTAGAAGCTAATTCAAAATCCTTCCCTGACTTTATATTGGAAAGGATGGCTCAAACCTGTCAAGTAGCTTACACAGCAAGATTATTTAAAACCTCAATTAGAACCACATCCAAAGTTAATTTGGGCAGTTCAGATCTCTCATTTTAAAAACAGTTCTATGGAAAATCTACTATTTAAACCCCATTCAGTCACAACTTCAAACAACTGAATATACTGGGAATAAATATCTGGAGAAGCTAAATGTCTGCCAGCTTATCTCAAATTTTCTTATACTTAGAATCATGATCTCTCAAAGACATGGAGTTAAATATTTTTAAAATAGAATTCTTGGGCTGGAGATGTAGTTCAGTGGTAGAGTACTTGCCTAGCATGTCCAAAGGCCTGTGTTTAATCCGCAGCACCACCAAAAATAAACCAAACAAACAAACAAAAACCCAGAATTCCTTCTTAAATGAGAATGTCTGTTTCTAAATCCTGCAACTTCAACCCTGGCTGACTCATGGGCTCCATTTAAGATTAGTAATGAAAGCAACACCTCAAATAATGCCTTTAAGAGGTTAAAAAAATTATATAAAATCTCTATATTACACTCCTAGGACTTCAGTCTCCTAGAACCAAACTTAAATGCCTTCTTAAATGCCACTTACATGGGTGGGAGGCAATATGGAAAGGAGAGGAGGGCTTGCTGACTCCTCCCTTAAACATGTGTTGAACTTGCCAATTTAGCAGGCAGACAAGCCAACAGTTATCATCTAGGACCTTTCCTATTAAGAATTGAAAGTAACCCCACCACAAAAGTTCAACAAAGTTAACTTCAATGCTAAACATTAGTAACAATATCTGGAAATCATCATTACTAAATTTCTTATGTATCATTCATAGGGAAAATTAGCAAAGACTTGAAACACACACAGGAAGTGTAGACAGAAATCCGTGGACAACCCTACACAGCCTCTGGAGGACTGTTACATGACAATAACTTTCCTTTTTGTCCCACCCATGGGTATTAGTTTTCTTTTACTTATAGCTGAAATGTCCTAGAAGACGGATTTCACTTATATGGATACCATTCATGTTACTTTTGCTATGGTCTTTACAATTTTAAAACTCTATGTGTGGGATGAAAAGAAGTCAAGTACATAAGATTATGAATACATTTTATCTCCTGATGCTAGGAATAGTTGTGAACACTGGCATAACTTTTAATAGAAGAGTTCAATTTATAAATAAAAATCTCAGTCCCTCAGATCTGCTGGTAAGTCTAATAGAACCACTTATACCAATTATAGAATCCAAGGAATAGCTCAAGACACCAGACCCCCTTTTTAACAGCATGCACTCCACAACATTTATAAAAAGATCTTCCTCTCATAAGCATGTCTCCAATCTCAAGGTTTATGATAAGGAACAGACTTCCACCTCCAAAATTCTCTTCATCCTAGGAGAGCAGTGTGCAGACCTATTAAAGTAGCTTAAGGAATCTGCTCACACACATAATATTGCTTTGAATGATAAAAGCAATTACAGCTTAGCTGGACCATAACAATGTAAATTATTATACCTTGCTATTATAGGGTGCCCTTCACATTTATTTCATCCATTGTCATGAAATCTTTGTGAAAGGGAAACTATGACTATGTTTCTCCACTTTATAGATTAAAAGACTGAGTTTGTAGTGACTTGATCCACACTACATCATCATTCATTTGATTTGTGTCTAAAACGTGGACTCCTGGGGAATTATCTCTCAGTAAACACATGTGCTCTGCTATAGCCTTCAAAATTGAGGCTTGCCAACTCATAACGTGTGAAAAATCCTTTGTGATCCATTTTTTTCCTGCCTGCTCCAACATGTTTATATGATGGAAAACAAAAGGCTGATCAGATTGACTGTAGTCCTTATCCTAACCCAGACAGCAGATGAGAAACACCCTGTAACAAGGCACGGAAAGAAGATAGTCTTTGTGGGATGGGCTTGGAGCCTCAGAAAGAATGTTGGCAGGACTGATAGCTGATAAGGTCAAGCTTCACCACCACCTGACCCAAGATTCCGAGGTGAGTCAGCACTTTCTCACCAAAGATAAGGTCGACTCTTTCCCAAGCACCCCAAAGAAACTTTGGGTGTATGGCTCCTTGGAGCTGGGATAACCAAGCCATATTCCTACTACTAAAAGAGAAGTTCAGTCAATCTAAGCCAGTGGCTCTTAACTTGGGAATCACTAGGGGAGCTTTAAAGAAGCAAACAACAAAAATGGCTGGCCCTATCCAAGGCCAATTAAATTGAAATCCCTCAGCATGGAGTCCAAGCAGTAGTCATTTTTTAAAAGCCCTCCAGGAGATTTGAACTTGCAACCAAGGCTGAGAATCACCAGTGTAGACCATAGGTTGGAAATCTTTTCAGTAAAGGGACTGATATTAAGTATATTTGGCACTGGCCCCACACAGTCTGTCTTGAATACTCAATTCTTCTGTTTTAGCTGCAACAGACGATAAGGGAGTGAATGGGCATCACTAGGTTCCAAGAAAACTATTTGTGAACAGCACCACTGGATAGAATTCAGCCTATAGGCCTGATGAGAGTTTGCAAACCTGTGGTTCAGATCGTAATTCTACCAGCAAGAATTTCTTCCAAAAGAGCCTGCACATGGTCATATAGTTAATCTGAATGTAGGCAGAGGCTAGAGTTTCTCAAGAATGAAGGTGTAACTCCAGAAGAAAAGTTTCTGAGATAATAATGCAGTCAGTGTTAAAAGAAGGGCAAATACTCTACAAAATGGAGCTGTAGAAAAACTACTGGGTGTGTCACTGAGAGAATTAGCCCACTGTAGAACAGAATCATCCCACTGTTGTATGTACAAAGTGTAACACAGGAATGGGCACCAGACAATGAGCTCAGAGACTCATAGAAATAAAGTACAGTAGGCATCTTGCTTCCTGGAGACATGTATGCTCTAATCTAGCAAAGCATCTGAATTTGTTTTAGTCAGGAGCAAAAAAGGTCAAGGCTTGGATATTCTTAGATACCAGATGGCCCAACAATGACACCAAATCTTTCCTCTCCAGTGAACGGGGTTTTATTCCAGTGATTTTCAGAGCTCAGGGGAAAATCTGTGAAGGGTATGTGCCAGACACATTTCCCCTCCTCCAATCTTCCCAGTTAGTTCCTGTTCCCAGTTATTGCTTCACTTTTCCTTACAATCAGTCTTTAAATTGTATCCTCAACCTTTAGTATATATCAACATCAGGTGCTAAATAAAAACCTGTCTAAAATAGATGATTAGTTTAGTGATCCTACATAAGTCATGAGAAAGTCAAAAAGTAAGAAGTGATCTGTTTTTCACTTGCCCCTTCAGTGTTGAGTAATTTCCAACTTGTCGATGTATGAGTGGTCTTTATTTTCAGTTATAACTTAGAAATGGCAGCAGAAGGCAGTAAGTGTTCCAGAAACCCAAATGGCTCTTCTGAGCTGCCTCTTCCCAGTCTAGGAAATAGTATAGAGAACTGAAGGGTACAGTACAAGCAAACAGATCTGGGTTTGAATGCAAGTTCTATTATTTATTGCCTGGGTATGTAACCTTGAAGAAATAAGTTAGCCTCCCTGATATTCAGTTTCTTGAGAGAACAAGGAAAACCACAACATGTTCTTCATGGCATGGCAATCATAACGATATATATGAAACTTTAGCTTATGGAATAGTTATTTCCTTTCCCTTCAATGTATCACTGATGCAAAGAAGTAATGGCAAATAAATCCAGGTGATACTCAGTTCCCAGTACCAGAACAAGGAGACACCTTCCAATTTTAGAGGAGAGCTGGCACTGAGCGAGATCTCAGTGCCATGAGATCCGTGTAGCTGACTAGAGCAAGGTGAGATTGGATACAGCCACAAGCAGCTCCCAACATGGGCCCAGCCCCTCTGGCATGGGTGTATGAGCCATCTGTGAGATCATGACAATTCAAGCCAAAAGGATCACTGTACTGAACTTTACCCTGTGGCCAGAAAGAATGCATTTGAGTCATGACTAGCAGGGTTTTCCTCATTGTAATCAGCAATTCAGGTTAAACAGCAGACTGAAAGAGCCTGATGGAAACCCTAGGGACAGCAGCAATTTGATAAACCACTTGGATTAACTCCTAGATTCCACTCATAGTTGGCTTTTTCCCTGGTGAGCTGATAGGCCCCAAGAAGCTCCACTGGCATCTCCAGCCCTTTCACAAAAACAAGCAGGCCCCACTCAGGCCTCCAAAACAACCTCCCCACATGGAGGAACCGACCACATATATACCCACCAAGACTGTGAGCAAGGGAATCTGACAAGCATGCTACAACCTCAATACCACAGTCTTCATCTTCCTCTACAAAGAAACAAATGCTACTTCAAAGAGAGCATCTTGAATATTTCTTTTTACCAGGCATTAATAAAATTCCATGGGGTTTAGAAAGGAATGTGACTGAGCCTAATTCCTTATCTGCCTAAATGTCAGGAGGGGGTACGAAAACTAATCTTCTTCAATGCCTCAGCTCCACAGGTCTCTTAAATACTGAACAACATTACCTGATAGGCTCTGCACTACATAGGAGCTCCATTTGCTCCCCCTCAGGGTAGGTACTCCAAGCACCTGCCATGTCTGCATCTTTAAGGGCATCCAGTCCAGAATTCCCATGCTTGGTGCAGCTGGAGTGCTGGCTGCATTAGCAGTAGCCAGTATATAGTGCGCACCTTCTCCTGGCTCAGTTTTTCTTTTCAAACACTGGCCAAGAAACTTCCTGTCAAGTTTTTCTGATACATACTTCTTCCATTCCATTCTTGAAAGACTGACTTGAAAGCCTCCTAAGGAACCTCATGAAATCTTACCATGGAACAGATAAAGTACCTAAGGGCTACTGGAAAGACATTATTGGGATGAATCTTAAGAAACTGCCAATATTTAGCCTTTCTTGAACTACAAAAATGGCAACTTTTTATGGTTCAACCTTGTTTCTGGCAAGTAGCTTCGTGAAAGATTTAGAATTGCTAACTATATGATCTTAGGACCAATTATAAGCCAATGCTTCCATTAGGTATAATCTTGAGGCACCAAGTTCATGTGCTTCTGATCCTATGAGATCACCAAGAGAGACCATATGGAACTATAAAGGTCATCTCAATAGATTTCAAAAGATCAAAATCTTAGTCTCTCACCAAATGGAATTAAATTAGAAATCAATAACAACACATCTTTTTAAAAATCCCAACAACTCACATCTGGAGAACATATAGGTCAAAGAATAAATCACCAGGGACATGAGATAATGTTTTGAACTGAATGAAAATGAAAAAATATAACATACCCAAATTTGTAGAATGAAGTTAAAAAGAAATAGGGGAATTTACACCTTTAAAGGCTATGTGAAAAAATAAGAAAGGTCTAAAATCGGCGATCTATGTTTCCACTTCAGGAAGCTGCAAAAGGAAGAACAAACTCAAGGCAAACTAAATGGAAAGAAAATAGTAAAGAAGAAAAGTCAGTACCCTAGAAAACAGACAAGAAATAGGAGGAAAAAGGAAAACCCCAAAGCCAGTTCAATGAAAAACAAACAAAAGATAAACAAAATTGACAAAATTTTAGCTAGACTGATTAAAAAGAGAAAAAGAGAAGATATCAATTATTGATATCAGACCTGAGAGAACATTACCTCAAAGTCCACAGATGCCAAAAGGATAGAAAGGGAATCTATGTGATTTAGAGACTTGACAGCTCTAATCAACATTTGGCAAACTCCCTAGGGGCCAAGTCTGGCTTGTTATCTATATTTATACTTTCACTGGAGCATAGCCAGACATACTCATTTACATGTTTTCTACATTTCTGCATAAAAACAATAGGACTATCTCAGCCTGAGATCAAATGGCCCACAAAGTCTAAACTATTTATCCTTTAGAGCAAAGTTTGCTGACTTTGTATGAATAGAAAAATTCTTTCAAATACACAAATCCAAAAACCGATTCAAGAGATTAAAAACCTGAATAGCCCTATATGTACTAAAGGTACTGAACCTGTAATTGAAAACATTCCCACAAAGAACTCCAGGCCCTGGTGGTTTTTCTGGTGAGTTCTACCAAATAGTTAAGAACCCCTTAATACCAGTCCCACACAAAATCTTTCAGAAAACAGGAAGGAACACTTTTCAATTCATTCTATGAGGCCACTATCAGGCTGATACCAAAATCAAAGAAAGACTGTAAGAAAACTGGAAAGAAGAAACCAGCCTCTAAAATTCAGCATTGAGCTAATCTATCACCTTTTGATGGAAAGTTAAAAAAAAAAAAAAAACTTGGGCGGAAGATTTAGCTCAGTGGTGCCGCTGCCTGCCTTGCAAGCACAAGGACCGGAGTTCGATCCCCAGTACCCCCCCCCAAAAAAAAAACTTAGTCACCTCCATTCCTTCAAGGCACAAGGTAACAGAAATATCTTAAATTCCTATTACAGAGGCAAAACTGCACTATTGTCCATAGTGTATATGCTTTTTCATCTTCAACAGCAGCTGTAATAAAAAAAGAACACAAGTCGTGTGGCCCCTTGGGATTAATTCGATTCTGACTTATTACACAGAGTAAAGCATGATCATATCTTTAATGTTCAAAACTTTATTACTAAGGCCAAACAATTGGTGACATGGCAGTATGTCATAAGTAGGTCCCCCTACTTAGTGGTACCAACTTTATATATTCTCTCTAAACTCACTGGTGCCAAGGACAGTGGTAGCCATGTGCACCTCTGGTGGGCTACTGAATGTGACCACTCTGTTCAGAACTGGCTCACACCATGACTGTGTCAGTAACAAAAGGTTTTGGATTCTGAAACAGGACGTGGTTCCCTCCATATCCGAGCACCTGCTAAGTACTAATGAAACAGGAGGCGACCTCCAGCAGCCTCTGAAACTATGGCAGGGTTCTTTTGGAGAACAGCAGAGTCCAGCCACCTTACTTTCAGGTCAGCAATTACTTCAATTTTCTGGGTTACAACGGGTTTCTGCTCCTTTAGAAACCTAAAAGAAAGCCTAAAAGAGACCTCTATAGAGAAACAGGTGCTGCAGACTCCTGAATCTTCCCACCCAGAATTGAAAAACCCAATGTGTAGGTTTCCCAAGACATCACTCCAGACATGCAGAATTAACTGCAGTGACCTCTGAATGAAGCCCTCTTCCAAAGTGACAGCCATGAGAAAGGAGGTTGCTTCATACCACAACCTGATATTGTAACTGCATATTTGTTTTTCACCTTTTGTCCTGAAGATAAGCTCTACGAGGACAAGGACCTTTCCTCTGTTAGTCACCACCATATTCTAGTGTCTGGGCACAAAGGAGGCACTTGATAAATATTGATTACCTAGCAGTCTGTGACTGGAACCTTCATAAAGCTGTCTTGAGTGTTTACAAACAACCTAGCAAAGAGATGACCATGAAAGTCATGCACATTCACCAAAGACAGTCAACTCACAGCTGGCATATGAGCGGCTGTCATCCTCACATAGTGTGTGCAGCTGCTGGTATTCCTCCTGAGCCAGTTCCAATCGCTGCTGCTTGATCTGGTAGATTTCTTTCTTGGCATTGAGAGCCTCCTGGGCTACAATTAAATACTCTTTCAACATCCGCTCCTGCTCTCGCCTCCACTGTTCTCTTGGATCCTCAATCTGGGTAAGCTCTGAAATGAGAAGGGTAAGAACACAAGTTGACTTAAGGGTAAAATCAGTAGACTGATAAACAGTCAACAGGTATACTGCTGCTCAATGTGAAAATGAATTATCTACTAGAATGCACAATATGGAAAAGTCTACAATACCTATTTCTATATCCACAGTTGAGACAAGAAAACTCTACAGGTATAAAATAGTCCATTCGAGAAGGGAAGATAACACAAGGCCATTTTTACACCATAAAGACCACATTTTAAATGGGCATAATTGGAAGACATTAACCCAAATGCAATTGGCCTGTCAAACTAATCTATTTATAATGTTCTTCTCACTGACCTCTTCATTGCAGAATAACAGAAATACTACCATCTGCTGATGTAGCTTGCCCCTCTTCTCCTTTTCCCTTTCCAAAGATTCATCACTAAATTCCACCCATAGTCCCCCCATGCCCACCCTGCCTTCTCACTGAAGGCTCTCAGGAGGGCCCACATATTCTCAACACCACCCTTTCATAGTACCCAAAGCAAACGCAAACCAAATGATGACACTACACGCTGCTTGGCCTTCTGCCTTCCCATTCACAGTGAGCAATGCCATCTGGACCTCCCCCCAGCCACCCTGGGAACCCAACCTGACTCATCCATAAAGAACTCCTGCTCTTCCCCCTGCTAGACTACTGAAGAGTCATCAGGAATTGGTGACTCCTGCCACTGGATATAATCTTGGCTGGTGACATGTTCTCTTGCCTGTCTCCCCTTAGTGCAATGAGACCCACCAAAATGCCCTCCACAATCAGCCCAGTCTCTGTCTTGAGCCACCATGGCCATTCTCTATACACTCACAAACATCACCTTCCCAACCCGCTGCACTCTCTCCCACAGGAAGCTCTCCTATAACACAAAGTCCAGTTGCCCTGGCATGATAGGAGCCCTGAAACTCACGTGCCAGCTTCATCTCTGTTTTCTGTCCTTTTCCTCACAGATATCCTCTTCCCCAAGGCCCCACATACACTCATTGTGCTCATCTCCACTTCTTTTATGTTGCTTCTGTCCTCTTCTGCCCATCAGGAAAGCCCACTGCCTCCCAACACTCACTACAAAGACACTTCTGGTTTGAACCTTCTCTGGCCCTCCCAGCACTGCCACTCTTACCACCTGCCATATGGCACATAATTATTTTTATAGCTTTTTGGTCTCCCTGTAAACTAAAAGCCCTGAATAGCAGGGGAACGGACTGAATTGTCTTTATATTCTCAGTACATTTGCTTCATCTGTAGAAGAAAAGGTTATCAGGCCATAAAAAGGAATGAAGCACTTACGCCTGCTACGATTCTGAGGAACCTCAAAAACATTATGCTCAGTGAAGGAAAGCAGAAATAAAAGCTAAGATAGTATATGATTCTATAACTATGAAATGTTGGGAACATGCAAGTCCTCGAGGACAGAAAGCAGACTGATCACTACCAGAGAGTACGGAGAAGGGAATGAAGAGTGACTATTTCCTAAGGATGAATTTCCCTTTGGGGCTGATGAAAGTGGTTTGGAACTAGACAGAGGTGGTGTCTGTACAACACTGTGATTGCACCAAATGCTACTGAATTGTTTACTTTAAAATGGCTCATTTAATGATCTGTGTATTTTACCTGGAAAAGGTTAGATATGTAAAGTTTATGTTAACTTTATTTTAACACACACACACGCACACACACACACACACACAAGCTAAATGCTCCAAGGTAGGAAAAACCTTGTTGATACCCCATATGCAGCCTTGCACTCTGCCACCTGAGGCTCTTACCTTCCTTCTCTGGACCTTAAAAGCTCACATAGAAGAGCAGAAAATCAAATATCAGAACCTGACCTCATGATGTATCTTGGTACTTATTTTGTAATGGTACAGATCCCAATGATGAATGTAACTATTATATACCTAAAATGTAACAATAAATTTAACAGAAGTTAAAAAAAAAGAAGAAGAAGAAGAATCTGACCTCAGCTCTTGAGTTCAGATTCAGTGGGCCTGGGGTGGGACAGTCAGGACTTCTGCACCTACCCGAATGTTCCTGATGTTTATTCAGCTGGGAGATCCAATGTAGCTGCCAACTGGCAGATTCACACTGTTCCAGTGCCCTGGAGGCTCTTGGGAACCTCGAAGGCTATCAACACTGTGACCTTCTGGTCTCCCCCAGCCCACGCACCATTGACTTGCACAGTTCCAATTTCACTATGTGATTCCTCAGATTCTGTGCTTTAAAGAGGTTAATAGCTGAGCAGTCAAGGGTTGAGGTTCCAGGTGGGCTTCAAGGAAAAAGGTGGTATGACCCCAGCACTTCTGTGTTCATCTACCATCTCTCAAATGCTGGATCATCCCTTATGCTTCTGATAGCTGTAAGAAAGTCACTGGTGACGATTTTCTTTTTAGGGTTCATGCCTACTTCTAGCATGTCAAACCCAGAAGGGTAGAGATTAAGTCTTAACTTCCTGTGTGTCTAAAGTCTGAACAGAGCAGGCAGCACTGAGGTGCTCTATGAATGTTTGCTGTGATTCACAGAGCAAGCCAGCAAGGAACATCATTGGCAACATGGGGGCACAGAGCCGTGAACAACCTGGGTTTACAAGTTACAAGAGTGATGGGCCAAAACAGATCCTCAGCTGCAGCATAGCAGCTGGCAGGCTTTTCCAGCAAGGCCATATAGGGCACACGTCTACAACGAGACAAAGCCTCTGAAGTAGGATTTGTCCCAGGCACTATCCACATTTGGGGTTGACCCACTCTCTGTGGTGGGGCCATCCTGTGCACTGTAGAACATCTAGCAGCAGCCGTGGTTTCCATCACTGGACGTTGGTAGCAACTCTCTCAGGCATGGCTATAGTGAATGCCTTCAGTGTCAAGTGACCCTGGGGGCAAAATTATCCCAAGTTAGGGGCAAAATTATCCCAAGTGGAGAACCAGTGCTCCACACAGTTCTACAAAGGACACTGGTAAGGTCACAGCCTATCACCTTCTAGACACACACACACACACACACACACACAGATCAAAAAGCTTGGTGTGTTAAAAGCAAACATACATGACAAAATGATATTAAGGTAACCACTTGGGCACTTACTAGTCCAAGAACTCAGAAGTGCTATTTTGTAATAAACAAGCTTTTCATTAGGAGAAGTATTTCCATTTCCAGACTGCCTGGGCAATTAATTCCTTATATTAAATATTACAACCCTGCATTAAATATATTCATGCAGTCCTCAGTAAGACTTAGATGAGGTACAGCCACACTATAACTGCTTTTTGAGAATCAGCTAATGAAAACTGCATATTAGAGGTAGAAAACCCTGTTTAAGGTTGCACTGGATAGTAATAATTATTTTGCTTTACAAAACAAGGTTTTAGCATTTCTGTGATTCACCCTGAAAATTCAGTCACGTGTATTGGTGCAAATATGGAATATTACTTACTATTTATGTGGTCCATATAATAAATTCCAATTTGTTTATCATATACGGTTTCCCATCCTAAAGGAAGTTCGTCCCCAACACAATCAGCAAAGGTCAATGGCTTTGTTATCCTGCAAAATAAAATAATGAAAACAAATTTGAAAGTCAGGTCAGTTGTATATAATTTTGCTGAATCTAGAGTCTAGAAGTAGGCCTTAATACAAAATTATACATCATCTTATCTGTTTTTGCCCCTGCTATGTGGTTGGAAATTTAATTCGCCAGCTTTGCCTAAATAATAACTATATTAGTACACTCACAATTAAAAGCATATCTCAATGTACATTTTAAATACCAGAGAAAACACATATTGATAGTTACCAACAAAACAGGTAAAACAAGCATCTTCTTCCACCATTATGTTTAATGAGGCAATGACTATGGAATGCAGCTTTTCCAGACTAGGAAAGCACCAACGCTCTCTGCTCCCTCTCCCTGAGAAATGTTCTCCCTTATAACTTTGTTTCCCTACAATACACATGAAAACCAGCTTAAATCATACAAAATGCACCTGTAGTATTTTCATCTACCAGTGGTCATAAGTTAATGAATCAAATATCAATCACTGACCAAACGGAAAAAGTCAGGCAAGGCAACAATACAAGATACCTTCTGAATACTTCCTGCTTTCCTTATACAATAGGAATGAGAAATTTCAAAGGGTCCTTTTTGTTTTTCTAGAGAACAACATCAAAGGCACAATATCGACAAACACCTCTCTTTGGGGAAAATCTGATTAAGGAAACCTTGGCTTGACAGGATACAGAAAAAGAAAAGAGTTTTCCATGGATTGAAGCAGAGCTTCCCCCTCCCCCATCCCTGTGATCATGCTGATTGACAAGACAGTTTTAGGGCAGCAGCTGTTATATAAAAGGGGCGCACCTATAATTGTCTGAGTCTGAGCAGCTATCTCTTTGGTTGTCTCTATAAATGCACACTGACTGGTATGCATGGGAATCTGATAACCTAAATTTCACAAGTTCAATCCTCCCACTTCTTGTGTTCAAGTCCCTGGCCTCAGGAAAATGAGACATCACAAGTGCAGTAGGCCCCATGAGACCAGTATGAATTTTGAACATGTGATTTCCCCAAACTGGTTTGACCACAAGGCTATCTCTCCCAGTAGTGTTGAGAAATTGATAAACACTATCAGAACAACACTGATTTTAATCTTCATTTTAAACATATGGTTTTAAGAACTTAGAATCAAAATAAACACAGAAATGTAGAGAAGGTGAGACAGGCTGTGGACTTCCTTCCAAGGATGACACACTCACAAAAAAGCACATCACAAGATAAGCCTATTGCACATTCTGTGTCCCATCCAGCAATGCTGGCATCTGCAGCAGAATCCCTTTACCAGTTAGAATGGTGTGACAGCGGCACGGTTCCAAGTCAAGCAGGCAGTGGCAGTGTTGTACATGATTTAGAACCTGAATAGGACCAAACCACAACAAAAGCAATCCTACTATAACACAAACTGAGATCTGACTATATCCCTACTATCCCAGCTTAACAATATTCATAAGCTTACAGAAAAATGATCAAATACAAGCACGTTTTAAGCATATTTACATATAGGATCTCATTTAATTAACAGAGGGAGGAACCCATCCTTAAGCACTGCAGAGCCTAATTTACTTACTTCACAATTCAGAACTGTTATAAAATTATTATAAGTTCCTATCTTTCAATTTTCTTTATAAAAACCCCCAAGTTATTACAAAGACTTCTATACTCCTTACTCCAAAATTAAATCAAGCAATATTTCTAATATTTTGTTGAATTTCAGTTTGGCTTTATATAAAAGACACGTGTCTCATGATTCTACTGTCTTTCTAAACAAAATGTGGAACTCAGAGGGTCACACACAGAATACGGCCTCAAATCGTGCCAAGGGGGAGTCACACCTCTTAAGAGTCCAGCTAATACCAAAAGCAAGGTCTGTCTCTACAACCACAGAAAAATAATCAAGTTGTGGTACATGGTATCAGAAGTCCACAGTGCTTATTTGGTTCTCCTGGACCATCAGCTGTGGCAGAAACCAGCAATGATATTGCAAAGACACCCAGGCAGCCCAGTGGAGAGGCCCATGGAGGTGGATTCTCTAACACTTGTCAAGCCTTCAGATGATTGCAGCCCAAATCAGCATCTTTACCAAAACCACACCAGGCCCCAAGAGAAAGCTACCCACCTAAACTCTTCCAAATTCTTACACCACAGAAATCATGTGACATCATACTTACTGTCATTCGAAGCCACAAAATTTCAGGGTAAGCAACAGAGAACTAGTTCCTAAACCCTGACATCGCTGCAGCAGACACCTGTAGTGAGGGCCCAGGCTGTCATCTATGAGCAGGTGGTGAAATACCAAGAGAAGTTTTAGTCATATTCAAGAACATTAAGACAAACATCTATGCCACTCTTCTGACTTATTAGGAGGACACATCCTTAAGATGTCCAGATAGTTGTGGTTTCACTGAATATAGACAAAACCTGGGACAATTTTCAGTCACAGCACTGAGAATATCTGGATTTATTCTTCTAATTATCATTCCAAAATAATTATAGGACAGGGACTTCATGGTTTCCTCTAGCATATGACATACTATCAATAAATATTCTAAAATGAATTTTTTCTCCCAACAAAGTGTTGGTGGGTAACACTACTTCAGTAATGATTAAATCACTTCAGATGAGTTTTTCAGTTTCAGAATTTATCTGATCACATTTCTACAAGGAGAACCAATTACTGTCAGAAGGACCTGTCTGGAGTTCTTGGTGATAACTCTTCAGCAAGGGGTGTTTCTGGCTGTTGTTCATTTGTGGGTATCAGGGCGAGGTCAGGAGCCACCCATGAGAGAACTCAGACTTGGCTGCGGAAAAACCAGTATTCTGAGCAAGGTGATAGGCTTCATCCTGGAAAATATCATGATCTCTTATCTTACCAGTTGCCATCCACTCAATTGCATGGAGACAATGACATCTAGAGACTCTTCCTCAAGCCCAATCGCTCTGTGAAAAGTGAACAGCCATGAGTTTGCCAAGGCAAACCTCTTGGGCCTGAGTTAAAAGTCTTCCTCAAGCCAAGACCTTACAAAGCTTCTGGTTCGTTCTGCTTCAACGTACACACAACCCCCATCCCAGGTAGGTGAGTCTGTTCATCCTCCACTCCCACAGTAGCCCTCCCCCCAAATTATACCCGTTTCTGTTCGGAATATCTTTTCATCAGTCTGTCCCTAGCTTGTGGATAAGCTTCCTACTCCTCTCTTATGTTCAATTTCCACCTGTCCTGCAAAGGTCAATACAACTGCAATCTCCATGGTTTAGAAGCCACTTCCATTTTCATGTCACTGTGCCCACTAGACACAAAACTCCACTGCTGGTCATGTTCATGACATTTATGCATATCCTCCACATAAGCATAATAGGCTAGCTACTTGGTCTCCTCTACCAACAAGAACCCAGCACCAATATTGGAAGGGAAGGAGGCTTTAAAAATAAATAAATAAAGCCATCCCAAAGCACATTTGCTTTACTCCTAAGTGAGTATTTCTTGTGCTCACTGAGAAGACACACCTATAGTAGCCCTACAACACATCCATGCATCCAATTTTGGACAGCTGGCCTTTTGTTTAAATTATACTGACACCCAGAAACTGGCCTTCAATGCTAAATGCTTGCTTCTGCATATTTCCCAATGGGCCAAGGATCCAGAGCTTTATGCTGGAAAAGCTCATCTTCACATCTGTCTGGCATCATGTGAGCAATCACATTTTACTGCACTTTTTCAAATGTTCACTGGCTGGAACACAGAACTAGCTCAGGGTAGAACAAGTATGGACTGCAAGGAAAAACCAACAGGGCTCCCAGCAGCTTGGCTTACAACTGGTTTAATGCATTTTGTTTGTATTATTTTATCAAAACAAAAGGATGGAAAAAACAAAACTGGTAATACCAGCAGGGGGCTTGTGTAAATTTTATACAGTTAAGAGAAAAGTGGAAATTTCGTGGTCTGAGGAAAGGCTAAAACCTTAGATAACATCCAGACTAAGCCAATGCCAACAAGAGAACAAATTTAGTGAATCTGAACAAAAAGTTAGAAATCTGTTGAAGACTATATATAAAAGATAAGGTACAATTGGAGGTATTTAAAACTTTTTCAGTTCTCCAGGAAAGGAGACCCTTCTTTTTTACCTTGCCCCAGTGCACTTAAGTTCTTCAGCTATTCCACAGTTCCACGGTATACAAAAGCAATGGTCAAGTATAATTTGTTTCCCTTACTATAAAATAGAAGAGAAAAATTAGAAGCAGAAATGACATTAGTAAAAGCAGTAACCCAGAGAAAATAGCAGCTTATTAATAAGTGGAAGGCACCAGGAAAACTACAAATAACGAAACATGAGAACTCAAACCAGCAAGCATTGAGAGTATTTAGTAAGAAGTGAAAAGGTAGGCCAGGGATTTAGCTCAGTGGTTCCGGCGCCTGCCTTGCAAGCACAAGGTCCTGAGTTTGAGCCCCAGTACGGAAAAAAAAAAGTGAAAAAGAGCCAGAAGCTCCCACCTTTGCCAGACCCTCATCTAATACAACGCTAATGACTTGTGCCCCCAAAGACCACCATAAATTTATACCTAATTTTAAATCCTCAAGCTGTTTTTGCATGTACCAGAGATATTGGACTTTTAATCCTGTGACTAAATTGTTGCTGGAAAAAGTTTCTATATTTAAAAAATGTAATTGATTTTTGTTCTATTTGCTTTTACTAGCTCAGGTGTTGAGCACACAGTTAAAATTAAAAAGCAAAAGCACATTGTTCTAAGTTGTTTCTCTGCTCCATTTCTCTATTCTGTTTCTTGTAACTGTGATGGGATTCCCCACATTGACACATCTGCCTGCTTTGTGCACAGAGATAAAATCATGTATGTTCTGTGCTGTCCACCACTCCATCCACCTCCTCCAGATCAGACTGATCCATAGGTAAGTATCACTTATTTGGATAAGTGGAATTGCAAAGGAAGCTCCCAGGCAGGTCCAAGGTAGAACATTCTGGAATAGGCAGGGCCAG